ACTTTTATTTAATTTATACGGGCGATATTTCGCATTGCGTGTGCGTTCGCAATGAACAGGCCTGGAGTCGCGCAATTTTTGTGTGCTTTAGAATGTTCTGTGTGGTTGATGGATATTTGGAGGCTGATCAAATCTGCTCATTTAACGCAGATAATTAAGTTTTGTGTCAAATATCGCGTGGTTTGTAACTTTTTGTATTCCGGTCGGTTTGGAAGCAAGAGGTTTGTTCTGAATTTTCGTTTCGTATTTTTAGAAAAAATCGACCCTCTCGCCTTAATTTTCGGTTAAGAATCAAAAACGAAGCGTGTTTTTTGCGCTTATTGGCTTACTTCCGCCCTAAGAAGCTTCCATTAATGCATATTTAGGGTGTTTGAGCCTGTAATAAGGATGATATCGTCAGCGAAACATTGTGACCGATCAAAAACCGCTTAAATTGGGCCAAAAATATGAATTATTTCAAATTTGAAGGTCCCTGATTTGCTTTTCAATGAGCGATTTGCATTTCTCGCCGCCTTGCGAAGAAAATGATGTAAAATTAAAGTGTTTCAGTCAATAATAAGAAAGACGTCGTCGGTTAACGATCGTGACTGATCAAAAATCACCTAAATAGGCCAAAAATCCTCGCTTCCTTGTGATGAAGGTGGTGTAAAAATCGAGGAATTTTGAGATATTTGGTATTTTTCTGGAAAATCGTCCCTTTATGAAATTTTCGGTAAAAAACGAAAATTTTACCTGCGTGTTTTTTGCGCTGAATTTATTGCTAACAACCTAAGAAGTTTCTAAAAATGCATATTTAGGGCGCTTTGAGTATAGAATAAAAACGAAATTGTCGGTGCAAGATTGTGACTGATTAAAAATCGTCTAAATGGGCCAAAAATATCAAAAATTATTTAAAAATTGAAGTTTCCAGTGTGGTTTTCAATGAGCGCTTTGCATTTTTCGCTTTCTTGTGACAAAAATGATGTAAAATTCGAGACACTTGAAGAAAGTTGATATTTTTCCAAACAATCGACCCTCCCCCCTCATGAAATTTTCGGTAAAAATTGAAAATTTTACATGTCTGTTCTTTGGACTCAATGAACTGCTTTAGACCTAAGAAGTCCTCCAATATGCATATTTAAAGTGTTTGAATCTAGAATAAGGACGATATTGTCCGTGAAAGATTGTGACTGTTGGAAAATTGCCTAAATGGGTCAAAAATATAAATTATTTAAATTTTGAAGCTTTTGAAGAACTGGAAAGTGTGCTTTTCACTGGGCGCTTTGCATTTCTCGCTTATTTGTGACGAAAATGAAGTAAAATTCGAGACATTTTAAGAAAATTTATATTTTTCCAAAAAATCGACCCTCACCCCTTATGAAATTTTCGGTAAAAATTCAAAATTTTTAAGCTTGTTTTTTGGGCTCATGGATTGCTTTAGACCTAATAATCCTTCCACTATGCATATTTAAAGTCGTAAAGTTTAAAGAGTCTAGAATAAGGACGAAATTGTCGGTGAAAAATTGTGACTTGAAAAAGCGCTTAAATGGACCAAAAATATCAATTATTTAAATTTTGAAGCTTCCAGTGTGGTTTTCACTTTGCACTTCTGCCTTTCTTGTGACAAAAATGATGTAAAATTCGAGACACTTTAAGAAAGTTGATATTTTTCCAAAAAATCGACCCTCCCCCTTATGAAATTGTCGGTAAAAATTTAAAATTTTTATGCGTGCTTTTTGGGCTCACTGGATTGCTTTAGACCTAAGGAGCTCTCCACTATGCATATTTAAAGTGTTTGAGTTTATAACCGGTTCAAAACAGCTTAAAATCGACCAAAAAAACAATTATTTCGAAGTCTCCTCAAATCTTCAAAATCCTTCACTATTCCCAAGATCTAAATGTGCAAAAACTTCAAAGAAATTTCAACTGTTCCGCAACTCCAAACTGTGGAAGTTTCCAGCCTGCTTGTAGCCCAAACAATACGCGACGATAATAACCATATTATCCTTACTACCACATTCTGGCCGGGTTTGTGGTTTTATAGGCGTTTTATTATGGATATCTCTTACGTATATTATGTCGAAGATGCGTGTCGTAAACTCTCTGTTACTGGCTGGATCCTCAAGGAAAAAATTGCAATTTATATTCCCAGGCAAATGCGTTTAATAATTGAGAGACTTTTGAGCCGGCGGCTCTTTTTCCGCAAGTCAAGGTTCACTCCGATCTTTCAAATCGAACGAAAATCCACTTAAATCGAAAACCGACTCGATCTAATCCAATGAGAAAAGTGCTGAACGTCAGTGTAATCGCTTGTCCACCATCATTTAGTATCTAATAAGTCAGTGAAGTTGCGCTTTCTCCTCACCGTCTCTTTAAGTTATTTTCTTAATTTCTTTTCGAAAACTTTTTAAAAGCTCCACCACGGAATTTTAGGGAGAACTTTTTTTCACAGAAGATGGCAAACCTGGGTCTTTGCTTAACATTAATGGTGAAGAATACACATAATGTATATCAGAAAACAAAGGGTTGCTCAATGAGGTCTAGCTGTGCAGAAGTGGAACAATCTAGTGAACGTTTCCTTTTGAACTGTTTACATGTGGTGCTCGATCTTCTTTGAAATTTTAGAAATAATTGTTTGAAGCAACTGCATTCAGAAATTGCCTGTGATCTAAACCATAAAGAAGATCTGCTGAAAAACAAACATGTTGCTTCCCGAGCTGTTCTAGTTGAGAGCAGACACTCGATTGAAATTTAATTGCTACTAACGAACGGCGCCAGATGAGATTTTAATCCGGCAACACAAATAAAACGATAGAATCGAAATAACAAAGCCGAAATATTCAGTTTGCGTTCGGTATATTTTCCGGATGCTATATTAGATTACATTTTAATCAGCAGCAACTGTACTGGTAAACGGGGGGTGCTGGGTTACCGGCCATTACTCAAACTTGACGTTAAATGGCTAATCCAATTGTTACCCCAACGATATGTGGTTATCGCTCGATCTAGTTGGCTTTGTGCGCTCACTGTGCGACGCCGCCTTGTTCCCCAGCGTCGCGACGCGCCGCCAACATCAGCGTCGGCTGCCTCCTCTCCTCAAATCATGACGCGCTTTGATGGTTCAATTCGCCTTTATTCCATTCGATACTTGCTGATCTTTCCAGTCTAGTTTCGGCTTTCATTTTTAAAAAAACTTCATGTTTTTGCCTTTTTTCAAAATGCTGAAAAAGCTGACAAAATCAGGCACTAAATGATTGCGTCTCATTAGCATTAGAGGAAAGAAACCGGCTTCTAATGGGCAAAGGCGATTTTTTCCTGCCATTCTGGGCAATCAGCGGCGAAGCTTTTACCGAGTCTGTTTTCTTGATGTCACAATAAACATCGGCAATTTGTACGGTAGAAAAACAAACCCATAATTTCGGTGGTTTCGGGCAAGATAAATTGCCCACTACTATTTGATCATCGGGAGTTTTGCGACAGCTTGAATGGACTGAGCAGGTAGTTACTGACCCAATTGATCCCCTATTGTTCACGTTCATTTATGGGAAAACTTGAAAAATTGCGCCTAAAAATCAATGTAGGTAATGTTGATCTCGTTACTTAACTGGTTTCTTCTACGGATTTTACGGTCTGCAACTGGTTTTAGCAACTTTCTGTTGTGGAGGATTGTCCTGCCGCCGCATTAGATGGCAATAATAATGATTCGATGACAAATAGTATATGATTAAGTCGACCGCCACCGAATTCAGGTAAAAGAGCATAACGTGTCGGCGGAAGAAGTAATCCACATCAAATTACGGGTAGGAACGGAACCAAATATTGAATTGTCTAGACAAAAAAGTTGACCACCGATGAGCGGAGGGAATCATCACTATTTTTAAATCGCTTCTAAGTGCCACACAAGAGATAAGATTGGCGAGAATGACAGGAAAGACCCATTTACCAGCCAGGTTTAATGGTGATTCCATGGGATATTTCGGTTTTGGTCTGATGCAACTATTAAAGTGGCGTTAGACGTGGATAAGCGGGAATTTTGCGTTGATTAGCAACTTGCCTGGAACATTGTCAAAAATGGGGAGTTTTGCCCAGTTCTCTTACCGCTTTTGCGGGTATGGATCTGGGCAATTTGCGATGAGCAAAGCAAGACCGAAACCACGCGAATTTTAGTCTTGCTTCATGCAGCAAGAGCAGGTCTTGCCCTTAAAAAAAAGGCGTTTAATTCTCTCAAGGAGTATTGGAAAAATCATAGTTATTTTCTACTCTAAACTGTTCAGCAGTATTTATTTCCTGCTTGAGGTTTCACTGTTTAACAGAATGTGCATAAAATCGTTTACAGGATGTTGGGGGCAAATGTTAGCAATTTTTTAAAAGTGATTCCACATGCTAAAACAATGAAAAGTTTGAAACCTGAATATTTTCCCAGTTACAGCTCATGAGACGATTTTTTGCTAGTGGGTTTTACGTATTTTTAGGCCGTCGTAAAATGGAATTTCTTCCTGACGTTTCGCAAGCACGAGTGGCTTGCAACCTCAGAGGTGGCTTGCTTGAGCGCTGACACAAACCCTTTTGTGTAAGTAAGTGCGTCTTTTGTTAATCACCCTGTATCTTTGGATGGAAATCGTGTAGGTTTTTCGTCGATGAATTCCCATAGTTTCTCCATCATCACACACACACTCACACGAAACCCTAATTATTATTTTGCCCCGTAATTATTAATAATGGTCATTTTTCTTTGCGTGCCTTGGATTGGGAACAGGCATTCTTCTACATGTAGAAATCGTGATTTCCGTGTTTATCGATAGAGACAATCATTTTGAAATAATTTTTTTCTCGGAAGCAGGTGCTTTGGGGCTTAAATAACTGTGGCACTTTGAGGTGAATGAATAAGCCCCATTTCACTTGATGAAACAACAACATGCTCTTATTCGCAGCCAATTGTGTGCCATCGTCGCGTTATGCTCTGGAGAATCGGTTGCGGTTTGCATGCCGGGACTGTTGTCCATTAAAAAATCTAATAATAGTGTCATATTTTTATTTTCCAATACGACAGTTCTTGTGCTTACAGTAATCACTTATATCTACAATTCAAATCACACTACTTTTCTGCAATTGCAGGCGGCAAATTGCTTTTTTAAGTACGATTCCGTCACAAAAATCAACATCTTTCTCACTTAAACTTGTATTTACACTGATTATATTGAGCTGGGCGTTTTTTGCGTTTAATTCCACTAATTAATAGACCGACACTTGCAGGAAAACACCCAGCTCAAGCAACTGGTTTATAGGCTGCAGTTGTAACACATATTGCACAATACTGTTCATGGTCTGTCCAAGTCTGCAGGCCAAACCGACAAAAACAATGTCAGCAGAAAAAGAGCAAACAAAATTTGAATGAGTAGCTAAACCAGATCAACTGCGCCTGACACGGAGATCTATGGACATTATTCTAAGTCTTCTAGCTCAATAACGTCCAGAGATAAAGAGAGGGTTAGCGAGTCCACCGCTTTACCTTTGGCGGTTGATCAAGTCCTAAATGTTCAATATTTACACAATTTATCAGCGTTTCAACACATGGATTCGGCTAAAGCCGGCTGAGGGGCACTGTAGGGGCCTGCCCAAGGCTGCAGGTTCTGGAGAGCGCTCAGCGCTGTATCATTGGCTGCTGAAGCTGCCGGCGGGCCTTCGCTCATGTAGCCTTTGCTTAGGGCTTCTGCCTGCAGCGACATCATCAGCCGATTGGCCGCCTGTCGCTCAGCTTCGCGTTCTTCTGCAGTTTGTCGCCTGGAAAAAACAATGCAAATTAATTTCTGCGCTTGATTCAAGTCAGCGCTCAAAAGCCAAGCGGTGTACTTTGGGCAAACAGCGTAAGTATCAGACAGTGCAGGCTTTCACGGCGGGTTAAATCACATTTAGAAATGTTTTTCGGGCTTTGAAGCCGTGGTCCATGGGAATTTATTCCTGACGTTTCGTCCACAACTGCGGTGGACATCATCAAAGGCCTCATCGCGCTCAAAAGCGATGAGGCCTTTGATAATGTCCACCGCAGTTGTGGACGAAACGTCAGGAAGAAATTCCCATGGACCACGGCTTCAAAGCCCGAAAAACATTTCGAAATGTAAACTTTTTTCCATTTTAATACCCGATTTTCGACCTTGCACTTGAATCTCTTCAAAGTCTTCCACACCAGACCAAATTGGTTTTCCATTTTTATACCCGATCCCTTTTATAACCGATTTTTGCCTTCTTGAACTTCTTCCAAACTGGAACTCTCGGTATAACCGGTTTTCGAACGTCATCTTCACTCCTCCAACGTATTCGAACGAACTTTTTTTCAGACTGTGAAGGCTTTCATGGCCGGTCAAATCACGTATAGAAATGATTTTCATGGGAATTTCTTCCTGACGTTTCGTCCACAACTGCGGTGGACATTATCAAAGGCGATGAGGCAGTGGGCGAAGTGATCTCCCATGCTTGCCGACTAAGACTGGTTCAACTACTGGATCCCCTGAAATACGACAGGGGATCCAGTAGTTGAACCAGTCTTAGTCACGGGAGATCACTTCGCCCACTGCCTCATCGCCTTTGATGATGTCCACCGCAGTTGTGGACGAAACGTCAGGAAGAAATTCCCATGGACCACGGCTTCAAAGCTCGAAAAACATTTCTAAATGTGAACATCGTAATTAATTGCCATTTGGATAAGTCTTTGAGTGCGTATCAGGCACGTTAAGTGGTGTTCATGTTAAAGTGTGGATCACTTAACTTGCACAAAAGTGAAATGCGGAAACGGATATCCAAACACGTCATTCTCTATGAACCACTTAATTGGTGTTTCGCGTCTTACAACCTGATCTCGGCAATAAAAAGCGTTGTTTTTTCCCTGTCGTTTAAGTGGCTTTGTTATGTACAGCGTTAAGTGATTTGTTTCAGCAGCCCGCGTAATTGCGGCCGCTCTTTTGCAACTTTCGGTTCGGTTTGCTCGATGTTTTTATGGTTTAAGGAAGCAAAAGTGCGTAATCGAAGTATTTGCACTGGGGATTTTTAATTTAATCAAGTAATGAACTAGCGGACAACGAAAAAAGGGTTTTTTTCTGCCTAGTTGCTCCGCCTGCCTGTCCTGTTCCGGTTCGAAACGAAAAATTGGAACTGGTTAAGTTAAAGCGCTTATTTAACGGTTAATTCCATCGGAGGTCATCGTTTGACTTAGTTCAAGAAGGGGAGCAAAGCAGCAACTGGCTCCTCGCTAATTATTAATTGCAGCGAGCTAATTAAAATCGTTGGGATTCTGTTTATCCGTTCCGTTCGCCCCAAATAAGGGTACTAATTACCGTTGCGCCCGCGTAGTTTAATTACGGCATTAATTAATTATGAAAGCTTCATTGTATCAACACCTAACGCTATTTAGATAATGCTCTGTGCGATTTCGCAGGCGGCGCCGTTCATTATTTCCTAATTTTCGGGTATTGCTTAATTTGTTTTCGCGAAAATTAGTTGGCGGCGGTAAATTTATAACGTCAAAAAGTTTCGGGAAACTTTGCCGGAAATTAACTATGCCTCTGACAAATATGAAATACGAAATGACTTTACGGGCCTGGCAATGAAAATAGATTGCACCGAAAGGGTTGCAAATTAGATCGACGTCAACTGTTCAGCGCGTGTTTTGACACGGTCTTGTTCAATTAATGGACATTTTAATCACCTCCATTGCTTTTAACTTGATTTATTTTGGATCGCAACACACGGGCAGGCTTTCACTTATTCACCTTATTCGCGCCTCTATTGCGTTCAGATTAATTCAATATTCACTCAGTTCCCGACAACGGTTTTCTCTTTTGTCCACACGGTGATCTGCGTCAGTCGCTCGGCCTGAATATGTGTGCCCCTTTATTTGACAAGGGATTTCTCCACATTTCCACACTTTAAAATGCCGCCGGATCACAAACTTCTGTCAACCTTAGTTTAAAACCTTTTAATAATTCCGCACTTTCACAGAACCTATCGTTTAAAACCTCTTCTATTATTAACAGGGATGAACGAAGGGTAAGAGTTCGGCTGTTTCTCTCCACTTGCTGCCTGCTGCGATTTGCTTACGTTGATTCACCATATTTTAGCTAACTTAACCATTTTGCAACCATTAGTGGAAACATGAATATTTTCTGTGGCGTCGTCCATGATTTTCCAGTCTAGTTTTAAATAATTGATCAGTGAGCTGGTAACTAAAAGCCAAATACGCAGCTACTTTTCTATGGTGTGGACATTCGGGGCAAATCTACTTGTATGCGATTGTCATCCATTACGAGCAGTGTCCGAGGATGTTCTCGTCCAGAAATTGCAATCCGATTGGTGGCCGGATTGCCAATTTGACACCCTAAAAGCCCCTGAATTATTTAGGAGCCGACAGAAGCGATACCCTGAATAATACACGCTGACACAGGTCTAGTGTTTAGAACGTTAAATATTTACGGCTACTTTCAACATCCTGAAATCTTTTTTTAGCTTTATTCTACTAGGTTTTTTCAATTCAGTTAAACTTCCACGATTCCAACTTTAAAATGGACAGCGGAACATTTGATTGAAAATCGTTAGGACTTGGACGGGTTTGCCCACACAAACAGCCCGCATTTTSCGAAGTTTTTACTGATAACTTTAAAAATGATTAATTAAATGAATGAAAATGTAGCTTTAGCTACGTCTTGGTAATACWGSAGTTTTAAGTTTGCAGTCAGTGGCGGCTGGTGCAGCAGAGCTCTCTTAGGCAGGATCGTTCAGGTTTCCAATTATTTTTTTCAGTTTCAACAGTTGCGTTTTCACAAAAGTATACAATTAAATATAGGGAGTTTAATTTCGGCTGAACCGATATGGATGGAGCTTCGCTTCAGCGTTTTCCTTATAATTTATGCCCCGTTTGTCACTTTGTATTCTCGATGTGAAGCTACTGACCCTACACGTGCTCTGTAAGTGCTGCAGCGCTTAAGCACCAGCCGCCACTGGTTTTCATGCCATTAAGTCCTAACTGTTCCCAAATCCAGAGAGAGATTGCATGTTAATGGATGAGACCAGACAGAAAACAGAACGGCAACAAACAAAATAAAACGGGAATAAAAGTTACAAATTCGATTAGTGTCTCTTTAGTTGAGGGAACAGTATGGGTGACATCGTTTCAGACACCAAAGTTTCGGAACAATTACGTTAAAACGATTGTGTTCCCGATGTTGGCCAACGATCACTTGGACGAATCGTTATTTTGGGAATCATCGGCAACTATTTTGCTTGTGGAAAGTGCTCTAATTTGGGTTAAGGATTTTTTCAGTTTCAGTCGTTTTTCTTGCCGGGTTTTGCACCATTTTTAACCAAAAAATTGATTCCTGCCGAACCTGTACAGGTAAAGTTTGGGTGGTTGCAATTTGTTGTGGAAAAAAGCCCACTCTTTAGAGCAGAAGAGTTCTGCATTTCTGTCATTTTCAGGATTTTTTTGGTGGATTTTTGAAGTTCAGTTCAGTAGAGGCAAGTTTTTGCTCGTTGCATAGTGCAGAAAAGTTCTGAATTTGAGCCAGTTTCAGATTTTTTTTGTGAATTTGTCATGTTTAGGCGTTTTTCCTGCCGCGTTTTGCGCAACATTTGACGCAAAAATTGATTCCTGCCAAAGCTCAAGAGGAAAAGTTTGGATCCTTGCAGTGTTTTATTCAGGAAAGCCTGTTCTACAGTGCAGGAGAGTTTTGAATTTGTGTCATTTTCAGGTTTTTTTTTGGGGGATTTTTGAAGTTCAGTCATTTTTCTTGCCACGTTTAACGCAAGTTTTATTGATCCCTGCCAAACCTGTAGAGGCAAAGATTTGGACGCTGCAGTTTTTTAGGCAGAAAAGTCTGCTCTATAGTGCAAAAGAGTTTTGGATTTGTGCCATTTTCAGGATTTTTTTTTGAATTTCTGAAGTCCAGTCATTTTTCTTGCCGCGTTTAACGCAAGTTTTAACCCAAAAATTGATTCGTGCCAAACCAGAGGAGGAAAAGGTTTGGTCTTTGCAGTGTTTTATGCATTAAAGTCTGCTCTATAGTGCAGACGCGTTTTAAATTTGTGCCATTTTCAGGATTTTTTTGAGAATTTGTCATGTTCAGTCGTTTCCCTGCCGCGTTTTAGGCAACTTTTTACCCAAAAATTGATTCCTGCCAAAGCTGAAGAGGAAAAGTTTGGATCCTTGCAGTGTTTTATTCAGGAAAGTCTGTTCTATAGTGCAGGAGAGTTTTGAATTTGTGTCATTTTCAGCATTTTTTTGTAGATTTTTCAAGTTCCTGTCAAACCTGTAGAGGCAAAGATTTGGACGCTGCAGTTTTTTAGGCAGAAAAGTCTGCTCTATAGGGCAAAAGAGTTTTGGATTTGTGCCATTTTCAGGATTTTTTTTTGAATTTTTGAAGTCCAGTTATTTTTCTTGCCGCGTTTAACGCAAGTTTTAACCCAAAAATTGATTACTCCCAAGCCAGTGGAGGCAAAGTTTTGGTCGTTGCAGTGTTTTATGCAAGAAAGTCTGCTTTATAGTGCAGACGCGTTTTAAATTTGTGCCATTTTCAAGATTTTTTCTGAATTTTTGAATTTCCGTTGTTTTTCTTGCCGCATTTTATGCAACTTTTAGCGCAAAAATTGATTCCTGCCCAAACGAGTAGAGGGAAAAATTTGGCCGTTGCAGTACGTTATGCAGGAAAGTTTGCTTTATAGTACAGAAGGATTTTAAATTTGAGCCATTTTGAGGATTTTTTTAGCGAATTTTTGAAGTTCAGTCGTTTTTATTGTC